ATCTTGGAGGATATATTGAGAGCTTGTGCATTGGAGTTCCAAGAAAGTTGGACAACCATTTAGCACTCGTGGAGTTTGCCTATAACAACAGTTATCAGACGAGTATCAGCATGCCTCCATACGCGGCATTGTATGGGAGGAGATGTCGTACACCATTGTGTTGGGATGAGGTTTGCATGGCCAAACTTGAAAGTACAGAGTTGGTGGAAATCACCAAGGCAAAGGTAAAGATGATTCGTGAGAGGCTTAAGACGGCCCAGGATAGACAGAAGAGCTATGCCGATAAGCGCTGAAGAGCCTTAGAGTTTAAGGTGGGAGATGAGGTGTTCTTGAAAGTTTCACCTTGGAAGGGAATCATCCGATTTCATAGCCGAGGGAAACTTAACCCACGATACATAGGGCCATTTGTGATTCTTGAAAGAATTGAGGTCGTAGCATACCGATTGCAGTTGACTCCAGAATTGGAGAAGATACATAACGTGTTTCACGTGTCTATTCTCAAGAAATATATGCCGAATCCGTCTCATGTACTAGAGAAACCACCCGTGGAAATACACGAAGACTTGAACTATGTCGTACAACCGGTAAAGATACTTGATAGACAAGTAAAGAAGCTAAGGAGCAAGAAAGTTCCAATGGTGAAAATCCTTTGGAAAAGTGACCGAGTTGAAGAAGAAACTTGGGAAACGGAAGTCTTGATGAAGGAACAGTATGCATTTCTGTTTGAATAAGCGTTGTGAATTTCGGGGACAAAATTCCCGTTAAGGGGGGGTGTACTTGTAACACCGTCCCCAATATTATTTACTTTTTAATAAATTGTGTAATAAACCTTGAAGAATGAATCATGAATTTGCGAAGTTGTAAGTTTTTATTATTTCTTTTACGTGAATAGTAAATTGCACGTGGGGCCCACACCGGGAATGGGGACCACCCGATAATTTTGGAACCAAGTATTTTTTCATATTGGTCTAGATAATGTGTATATGGTGGTGGATATTTTAGTTGGGCCATAGAAAAGGCATGGAGTTGACCCGTTGGTCAAACGAGGCCCAATTACCGGTATTGGTAATTTATCGGATAACAGCCCGAAATGAATTTCAGAGACTTTTAAATTAAATTTGGGGAATGTACATCTATTCTAAAGGCCTATAATGATTAGGAACGTGTGATATATTTTATTTGACCCGATAAAATATAATTAAAACAGTCCGAGAAATACAACTTTCGGGACCGAATGAACATTTTGGGACAAATTTGGATGGCCTCCCACATGAGTGAGGGCCACCCCACGTTTTTGTGTGCTCAATTAATCAAGGGGGGCTGGATTTGACAAAGAAACACGTGGAGAAGGGGGCTTTGACATCAAAGGTACCATGGAGGACCCCCACCCTCATTCATTTGACATTTGAGACAAAATGTGTCACCCTCTTTAACCCCAAACCTCCTAGCTCGACCAACTATCAAAGAAAGGAGAGAGAATCAAATTATCATCCTCAATTGCTTCTCATTTCAAGCTCAAACAATATAAGTCCAAGGAGGAGGATTAAAGAAGGAAAAAGACAGGGAAAGTGTGAAAGATTAAGATAATGACCTTATAATGTCTTTTTCTCGTTTTATTATCTATCATATGACTTATATATCATATGGAGGACCCCTAGGATTGTTCTACATGTTTATAAGTGTAGAACAAGGGGTTGGAAGGTAGTTCTAAGTCTAAGAACGGACTTAGAAGCCAATTGACCGGTTCACCGGAAAATAACCTTTTAGAGGTTATTTGTGTTGATATGGGTTTTGTGATGATAAAACCTTGTTAGGAGTTGGACTAAGGTGTTCCTAACTGTCGTCGGAGTTTTACTGGAGTATCGCCGGAGTTCGCCGGAGTTTCACCGGAGGTCAACCGAGAAGGGTAAAACTTCTAAAAGCTCATTCGAGGTGAGGATGGTTGACTATATTGCTTATAATTAGTGAGTTAATTTCATGAGATTACCTAAGATAATTAAATGTGTTTTTATGGATTATTAATGATTAACAATGCCTAAGAATGAGAAGACTATTGTCTATAAGGAAAAAGAGCATGATATACAAATTTAAGAGTAAATTGTGTACGATCATGTGTTGTGAATATGTTGACTTGATAGTGGAATTAACTATGAAACTTATGTTGAAATATAGTTTTTCTTCATATAAGAATATATGAGTGATTAAAAGTGATATTTTGTATATTGATATAAATGATATTTTCGATGGAAAATCAGTTTAGATTTTGTCTATATGACTATGAATGGAGAACCTTGTTTGTTGGAATTAATCCGACTAGTATTAACATACTAGTCGGGCATTAAAGTGAAATGTTGCTAGAATTTATGCTAAGGTTGGATTGTGAAATGTTATGCCTTAAGTAGTCTTAAGAGATGCTTTAAGGTAGGAATGTATGAACTTTAAGTTATACTAGGGGTAGGCCTTAACGGATACCCAAGATAAAGTGAATAAGAAACTGATCCTAGATATAGGATTGGCCTACGGTGTGTTCGGTAGTCCTTGAGGATAGCCGGTTGAATTGTGATAATAAGTAAGGACCATGGCCCTTCCCGACTCTAGAGAGCGGGGTTGGATAGCATGGACTTGAAACGTGATCACGGGTTAGGGTGGAATCCGAATCGGAGACCTAACTAGGCTCTGACAGGGTAACACATAAGATAGGACCCCGAAGGGCCTTACCTTCCCACGGGATGATGGGTATGAGTCCAGGGGCAGGATGTTGGAAATCCGAACCGATGACCTTATGCGGCCTCGAACAGCAGTAGCCAGTCCCATAGAAAAAATAAGACCTACGGGTTGTGTCGTGTGAACGATGAATGAAATGGAATATATAAAAAGGGGCCCGTGTACCGACAAATTGATAAATTAACTTATTATAAAGATAATAAGGGGAAAATTTTGGAATATAATTTATATATGATATCACTTTATTTCAGGGTCTTATAAAATGAAACATTGATTATATTCAGTGTAGTTGTCATTGTAGTTTTCAAATGCTTCAAAGTACTGACCTTCCCTTCACGGGGGAGGCCACCTCACAATTTCAGGTAGAAGTTGAGCTTGCTACCAGTACACGTTGCTTCGAGAAGGATCTTAGAGCGAAGACATGGTTCGTGCTTCCTCTGTTTCTGTTTTCAAAACACTTATAATAATGCTCATGGATATTATTTTTAGAATATTTAATTGGGGGCTTGTATACCTAAGTTTGCCAAGTGTGGCTTGAACACTTGTAATAATATTTCTGCTGCTTAATAAATGTTTTACATAATGTTTTTTTATGTTTGTGAATGATATTCCAGACGCTTTGTATAGTATGGATGTGTTGGACTGCGGTTGACTATTCGTACTGTACGGCAGGTTGTTGACATGTCCGGGTAGGTTCGAGGCGTGACACAGAGTCTGGGAAAGGTTACCATAAATTTCCCGCTGCATTTTATACTCCCCATACTCCATGGTTTTCACCAGTTGATTCTCCAGAAAGTCCATCCCTTCTGGCGTGGCCAACCAGCTGTTGATATGCTGGCCCATCACACTGTGGAGCCAAGCAACAGATGGGGGGAAGCCGGATCCCTGGAGCAGGAGGCCTGGAAATCAGAAATGGCACCAGCCCTAGCCCTGTCAATGGCTGCAGAGTGACCTGCCATGTAGCCCTCAAGCTTCTTTCGCATGGCAGCCACGTCAGCTTCCAGTTGCACCACCCGGGCTCTATCAAGGCCAGAAGCAACCCGAATCTCTTCAAGCTCCTTCCTCAGCATTTCCAGGTCAGCATCCCTGGAAGCAATATCAACCTCCAGCTCAGAAACCCGATTCATGGCACCGTCGGCCTCCTCACCAAGCTTCCTAAACTCTTCTAGTGCCTGACTCTGCTTGGCAATCTGGGAGTGGGCCTCCCTCAGCTCAGCAGCCACCTTGTCATGCGCAGCTTCCCACTCCCCATGTTCTCGGGTAACCACCGTAAGCTCCTCCTGGAGACCATGTACCTGCCTTCGTGAGGCCTCCAATGCCTGTTCAGCCATGTGCTGAGCCAGGGAACGTCTGCCTTCCTCATCGCCGCCTTCTTCGCCCGAAGTTCAGGGGCTTCAACCCTAAGGGTCATCTCATAGCCTAGGGTGTCGGCCTATAAAAAAAGGGGGGGGGGGACAAGTTTAAACAAAGAGAAGAGGAAGAGAGTAAAGGTGAGAAGCAAAACGGGACTCACCTTGAGTGCACTGGAAGTGAGCTCGTTGGCCACAGACATGGAGTCCATTTCCTCCATAACCCTAGTATCGCAAGGTAGACAGAGCTTTTCCAGCAGCTCTATTGCGTCATCATTCTCAGAGACAAAGCTCTGATCATCACAGACAGAGAACTGGAATCTATGTTTCCTACGCCCACTCGCAGAATTAGGGGTGGGCATGGGTCGGGACGGTTCGGGATTAGGGTTATCCCGGTACCGTCCCAATTAATAATAATGGGACGGGACGGTACGTGACAAGCCTTTGTCCTAGTCTTGTCCCATTTAAATCGGGACCGGGATGATTCAGAACAGTTCGGGACGGTTCGGGACGTCCCAAACTAACAAAAAATAATCATTTGTAACTAATATATATTAGCATTTCTAAAATATCATGCACCAAAATATTAACATTTTAAAAGTTAATTGATGGTCATCACAAGCTAAAAGCTACTATGTATTAGATTTTAGTTAGGTTTAGCAAAATTTGAAATTTAAATTTAAAACAAAGCAAAAATGAATTAGTTTATTCAAAATCATGTGTTCTAGTTGTGAGATACTAATATGTAGATATATAAAGTGAGGTAAAAATCTTTGTTAGTAAATATTTATGTTAGGTATTCTTTTTAATTTAAAAATTGGGCTTGAAAAACTAAAAACATGTTATCATTTATTTTTTGAGTTGACATTACAAACTAGTCACATGTAACAAAATCTATACAGTTATTACAAACGGGACAACGGGACGGTTTGGGATAACCTTCCAATGTCCAGGTCCCGTCCCGTTTTAAACCGGTACGAGACCGGTGCGGGACAAAATCAATGAGACCCAAACGGAACGGGACAACACCGGTACGGTTTCGGGATATACCGGAATGGGACAACGGGACCGGGATTCTTGCCCGCCCCTACACAGAATCATGTGGCAGGCCACCGCCCCTTGCCACCGAGCACTTCTTCCGGCCACTTGCGGACCCATGCGGCGGATCACATCCTTCGCCCACTGAGGCAGCGCCACTGGGCCCTGGATTATCTGAATGCAGTCGACTCTGAAGCTGCTGGAAGGTTTCATTATCTTTATCATCATCACCTTCATCTGTGGCATCCTCAATGACCACATCAGGTGAAGGGTTGGATTTCGCATTACCCGCGACATCGGGGGTCACCGCGGCATTATCATCTTGTGTCGCGGCAGTGCCCTGTTGAGTGTCCTCATTACCAGTAGCACCACCGCTAGCACCATCGATGTCCTCTGACACCCGGGAGGAAGAAGAAGATCCACTGGGGGAAGGCCCAACACATTGCACACCAGCTGATGGCTGAGTTTTCAATCTCATACTATCCTGCGCAAGGTCAAGAAGACTGAATATGTTGGGAGTACCTGCAAACTCCCAGGAAAAGAACAATCAACGGCCAGGAAGAATCAACATAAAAAAACAAACTGCTAGTATAAAAAAGAGGGGGGTGTGGCTACCTGAAGAAGAAGCAAGAGGTTGCACTTGGTTGCAGAAATCAACCTTTGCGAGATCTACCTTTATCTTAACAGGCTCAACTTCAACCTTAGCAGGATCTACCTCACCTACTGCAGAAGAGGCCCCCTCCCGCCACCTCCCCCTCTCAAAGACAGGTTCCTCATCTTCGGTGGACTCACACCTGGGAGGGGACATATGGGCAAATGCCCTCTCCTCACCTAAGGACTGAGGTCCCAACACCTTAGAAGCGGTAGCCCCAACAGTTCCCCCTAAACCCTGCTCCATGGCCACAGACGCTGCAATAGTCGTGGCAAGGTCAGCATCATCTGAACCCTGCTCCATGGCCACAGGCGCTGCAACAGCTGCAGTAAAATCAGCCTCTTCCTGGGCAGCAGCTTGCATGTCACCCTGGGGTTCGTCACCTACGGCAGCCCCTTAGTCTTCGACTGGGACCTCCGTGAAGAACACAAAGCCTAGGCCCTTCTTCAGCACCTCATCAGTCACAAAGGTCCTTATGTCCAAATCCACCCCACCACCCGTAATATAGGTGTCCACATCATCAGCATACTCACCCAGCTCACCAGTACTATGCATGTTGAACGAAACCGCACCAGGAGCGGTGAAAGGGGACCCTCCTCTCCTATCAGAGCACACGAAGACGAACCTGTGCTTCCACCCGGGGTGCGACGACGGGGTGCTGTGAAACACACTCCTACCAGGATGCTGGGAGATAGCAGTGTAACCCTGGTTCTTCGGTGAGAGGTTGACACCAAGTTGAAACAAATGTCAGAAGAGACCCACACTAACCTTCAGTTTTAGCACTTTACAGCGCAGAAGGAAGCCAATAATCAGATAAATTCCATTGGGGGTTATCTAACAAGGGAGTAACTCAGCCCAGTTGAGATACTCCACAACAAACGGGTGCAACAGAAAACGCAACTCGTGGTCCATAGCATCAACGTGAACCGTGAAGAAGCCGAGAGGGCAAGAAGATGGCAATCCCCCCCCCCCACATCGGGCCGGATTATATCTATAGTGGGATCGGCCAAACGCCTGGCCTCGCCCCACTCGCCATCTGAAAGGGCACAGGAGGCCACAAACGGACCATTGTCGGCAAGAACGTCAACCATAGCACCGCACCTGCCCTTACCACCTTTTCGCTTCTTGATGGAGCGGAGAGGGGGAACATCAAAAACTAGGGCAACCTCTCCAACCTCATGCTGAGGAACGGCCTCATCTCCGGTATCAACACAAGACATCTTCAAATCTGCAAAATAAGGTACACGCATGCAGAAAATTAAAATCTGGGGTTAAGGAACAATAATTCGACTCCAAAACAAAAATCAAACACTTGAATCAGCATCAGCATCACAACATGTGATTTTGGGTCCAGAAGTACAAGCCTCAACAGCAATGGGGGACTGTAAACCCCCCCGTACTTACAACGTCAGTTTCGACAGAAAAACCCTTAACCTGGGATTTCCGACAAACAATTGACCTAAGAGCACAACAAGCAGAGCCCGAAGACTGACCTGGTATGGAAAGTTGATGGAGGAACTGGAAGCACAGAAGCACTAGCCGGAAAAGAAAAGCTCTGGGATTTCTTGAAAACTCTAAAAACTCAAATGCAAAGAAAGCGCAAAGGAGAAAGACAAAAGCTTTCGCCTTTTATACGTCCCCTCAAATCGAACGGGAAGCTTACATGTGGCGCACTATCAAACGAACTGCCCAAAAACTGAAAGGTTTTCTCCAAAAAGGCGTGCAAAAAGCGCAATGATGGTGTCGTATAGTCACTTCAAACGCCAAGTCTCGCATTTAATGTTGAGAAACAGCTACAAATAAAAATGTTGCAAAAGGAATGTGTAAAGATTCCTATTTGCACACATCTGCGTTACTACACGCCACAAATTCTCCTAAGTCCACCAAATATTAAAGACAGTTGCCTCGTCCCCCTCACATTAATACTCTTCTACACTTAGAAAATATTCTAATTCCACAAGAGTGGGGGACTGGTAAGTGGGGGACTCAGGAACAAACCAAAACACAAAACTACAACAAGCTTAGAGCAACGCAACAACCTCGGGATCAGTACCAGACAGGTATATCTTGAGAAAAAGCTCTGCACACACACATTGAATCATTTACAAATTTTCTTTCACAAAATTTTATCAACCAACGGTCAGGACCTTGGATGTAGCAACTAACCCATGAAGTAGGTTTGGAACACAAAAGGCAGGGAGCTCAAGCTCGAACTCACCTACAACGGTGCGTCGCTTTCCTCTCCGGACTTCATGGCAAGGCAGAGTATACTCTTTTTCTTCCGTTAGGATTTTTTCTCACAGGGTTTTTCCTCAGCAGAGTTTTTAATGAGGCACCCCTTTGTCATGACCATGAAGAGCAGCACCCCCGCCGGGCACGCCAGCCCAGAAAATTGAAGAAATGATCTCTCTCACCTCAAGTGTTACTTTCGCTTCGGAGAGTGTGGGACTCATGATGGAGTATATTCCCATATACCCCAAAGGTATCAGAATCACCAACATAAGCATCACGAATCTACCCCGGAGTGCATAAAAATACTAAGTCCACGACTGGCAACCGATCCCGACCCCGACCCTCCAAGGTCGAGACAAAGCGCCAGGCAACGAAACAGAAAAGGACAGAAAGTCAGCCGACCCGACTTCGACCCCCGAGGTCGGGAAAACATCAAGCTCATGAACAACTCGAACTCAACAAGTTATGAGCCCGACCTCGAAAGCACCGAGCTCGGTACCGACTCTGACCTCGAGTATCGACACAGAATTAATCAGAATCAAGCTAAGGAGCCAACGACCTCAAAGACAGAACTAAAGACAGAATACACATTCCCCGGTGATGAGTCTGAGCTTCCGAATACTGACCTCTGTGGGCTCAGGGCCTGATCAAGGCATTATGGACTTAGATAAAATAAATAAAGACAAATGACCCAGCGGAATACCACCATGTCACTCCTAGCAGCGGGCAGAAAGAATGTGCTGGATCACACACGTATAACCACACGGGCATTTCGGTAGCTGTTTGTTGGAGCAGTTCCAATCGGTCAGCTGTTCTAGACTATCTCTCCAATCACCTTTACACGTGGCTGCTCCCCATCGATTTAGATTGTTAGTTTGTTAGAATAGATTGGACATGTGTCCTCTCCCTATTAGTTCAACATATTTTTACTTGGGCACCAAGTATTGCCTTTCTAGTATAAATACCACCTTCCAGCTTGTGGAAGGGGATCACATTTTTTATTCTCTTGTTGTTACTCTGCTGAATTACTTACATGTACTTTCCGATCAACTCTTCTCTCTTATTTCACGCTATTGAGTATATATTATCGTGTAAATACATATAATATGTATAAGAGGGGTTTGGTGGATTAACATAGTAGTATTACTCATACAAATAAGGTGTATCTCTTTTTAAGGGAGCTCATCAACTAAAATTCCAAGTTAAGCATGCTTGCACATGAGTAATCTTGGGATGAATGACCCGTCAGGAAGTTTCTCGGGACGCGCATGAGTGAAGACAAAATACGCGATAGATGTTGATTACTGAGAACAATATCAGGTTTAGAGGACATGTTGGAGTAACTATCACGTATCCCTGCGGGGCGGGGTGTTACAAGTGATATGAGAGCAATTCCGTGACAATGTGTTGATTCGTTGGATATCAGGCGACACTTAGCGACTGAGAATTCTGAGGATGATTGAGATTGGCTTATGGGTGCACGAGGACATTGCGATCCTTGGTGTGGTGGTTGTAATACTTGAGAGTAAGTTAAAAGAGATTAATAATTCTACTCATAGAAACAAATTATATCTTCTTTTAAGGAAGCCCATCAGCAAAAATTCCAAGTTAAACATGTTTGCACGTGGTCGATTATTAAAAGCTTGCGTTAGTTTGTGAAGACAATGTTAGAGATTTGAAAAAGTATCCGGAAGAAACAACTTTGACCTTGCGGGGTCGGGTGTTACAAAAGCCTTGTGGATTATCCTATGATTAATGTGAATTCAAATGCCATCCCAATATTTACAACACAACTTTACATATTCCTACTTCGGTAGACATTTCAACTTTTTAAACCATGTGTTTCTTTTCATCCCACAACTCATATATACTTGGTATCTTCTTATCTTCCTCTCCCACTAATTGATGCCACCTCTAATCATCCAATTTATAAAAGGTGACAGTGACTACACTCCAACTATTGTCTAACCTCTTTAATGTTTTGATTAGGTTTGTGTTTGGCTGGCTATTTCGATCATAATCATCTTAATAATTGTGGTTGAAAATTGACGTATCTTATTTTTTCGAATTCTTTATGAGAATCCGCTGAAGATATATATCAAGGATTTTTAATTTTATAAGTGCAACAGTACACAATTATGGTACTAATACCCAACATCATTCACATATTATTACTTGTCCAATACAGCTGTAGCTCCTTTAATAACTATGTTTCTTTTGATATTATTACATCTCCATTTCATCATATCATATTAATTTCAATCTCCTAAGAACCTACCTAAATCACGAGTGATTCACAATAAATCGCCCTCTGATTAAGCGTGTTAGTTTCCGAAGTATATAATTTTTTCAACCGTATGTTACAATTTTTTCTACGGAGTATATAATAAATGTTTGATTCCGTGTGTTGGGTTATGTATTAATAAAAATATGTAAAGCTAAAGTTACTTTTTCGGATTAAAATTGGTTGAACTTATTGAAAAAGTTGTCTACCTTCACTTTTCTCATATACGGAGTAATTTTTTCTTTAATTTGTTAATAAAATATACTTCCTCCGTCCCTGAAAATCTTTCCCACTTTCTTTTTTGGGCTGTTCCAAAAAAAAAATCCCACTTACCATTTTTGGACAATTTGTGTGATTCACATTCATTTCACATTTTTCTTACACAACCACAACCATACATTTTCACTTTATTTCATTTTCTTAATAAACGTGCCAAGTCAAACCGGGAAGCATTTTTAAGGACGGGGTAGTATTATGTATTTAACTTTTTGACATAATTTAACATATTCAACCAATTCAGTTGTTTTTGACATAACTCCAAGATGCTGTTTAGCCATTTCAACGTCATGGAATGGAATCCCAGAAGTATTGAGACAAGAGGAGCAAGTCTTGTAAGCATAGTCCGAGTAAAGCTATGTTTCACAAATCACAAATGACTCATACACAATTTTGTACCAAATTATAACCCAAGAGGAACAAGCCTTGTAAGCATTTTATTGCTCCGTTTATTATCAGCTTTATTAATCAAACTTTTGGGGTGGTTTACTTTCGACTTAATGGTCTGAATGGAAACAATGACTTAATTACATCGCTAGTTAACTTAATTAATATTGTAATTAAGTTCTAACTTTTCTTATTTAATTGAATCTCTCACATTTCAGTTCTTTTTGTACGAAAAGCAGAGAGTATGTTATATAAAATTGTGCACATTTGAGCTTAATATGAGAATACCTTCAGCAATTGAGAATTGAAAGTATATATACCAATTCTTCCTAATATTTTAATTAATTATCAATCAAATAACTAACAAATTCGACAGGGTACTAAACCTAAAACTATGGCTACGAACTATAAATAAGTATGTGAAATACAACTCTATCATCCAAACAGTGTATTTTATGACATTGTTACTTTTTCAAAGTGAAGTTGCATTTTCGAATCTGGCTTTAATCATACTTATCATCTTATTTAACAAATACCAAGAGCATATAAAAGTATTCGAAAAACGGAAAAAGTTAAAAAAAAATAGAAATTGCCTTAAATATGAGTAAAAACATTTTGAAATTTCAAAATAGGACTTTCATGTTTTGATTTCCTAAATAGAAGTAATTCTGCCAAGTTTGAGAAATAATGTCATGCTTAAAGCCTACTAATGCTAAAGTTGGCAGAAATTTACTCCTATTCAGGGAATAAAAAACATGATAGTCTTATTTTGAAAGTTCAAAACTTTTTTACTCTTATTTAGGGAATTCTCTCTTAAAGAGTTGTATTGCCTATTTGATTGATCTAAAACATTGAATCTCAAAGCTCTCACACGACCACGCCCAGACTCGACCCGACAAAACATATGTGATTTATTAATCATGGTAACTCTGTCAAACATAAAGATTAGATCAATGTCTCTGTCACTTTGAGAGGTTGCTCCCATACTACCATTCACGGGTATGATTTTTACCCATGTGATCAAATACGAGGAGCATATAAAAGTATTCGAGAAACGGAAAAAGTTAAAAAAAATTGTACTGCTTATTTGATTGATCCAAACGATCTAATCTCAAAGCTCAAAGCTCTCATGCGACCAGACCTGATCCGACCCGACAAAACATATGTGATATATTCATGGTAACTATCATAAAAATGAGATCAGCCTCTCTCACTTTGAGAGGTTATCTCATACTATGGTTTGATTTTCCACCCATGTGATCAACTAATATGCTGATGTGGACAATATGTGGTGCATGGGACCACCTAATTTTCACCCTACCACTTTGACCGCCTAATTGATTGTTACAGCATTTTAAAAGGAATGAAGTAATGGAACAACTTCTACCAACTCAATTAATAGCAAGTAATTATTTAACATGGAGGGCACATGGCCACATGCGCTTATGTAAAGTTTTTTAACTCAACTTTTTTTTGCCAAGCTGTTTCCTCTTAGACTCCTCCACCCCCTACCACTTTGACTAGCCGTCAAAACGTAATTATAATGTGAAGAAGAGTCAACGCAAGGCCAAAATTCCACCATTCACATTTCCAAGCAACCAAATCTGGACAGGTCACTATTCTTTTTTAACCCTTTATTTCTTATCCCCATCCCAAGAATCTCACCCAGAAAGAAAGCCCTAACTAAATTCAAATTCACCCACCCTCCTTCCTTCTCCCTTCAAACTTCTCCTCTCCCATAAAGAATTCATTTTCTACTCCGTATGATCTAAAAGGGGAAAAAAGATTCAACGCCTATTAATTCCAACCCAACCCCAAAATAAGTAAGTGATCGCTGCCATAAATTTTACCCCAATAAATAATTCACACCCAAAAATCCGGGGGAAAAGAGAGCAAAGATTTAATCTTTTTAACTTCGAGCTTCTCTTTACCACAGATATGCTGGAAACTTCAGTGTTGGTGGACAATCCCAGAGGCGGAATCGCTGCCCCCGCTGCTGAAGCGGTGGCGGAGCTGCAGAGCGGAGGCGGCGGGGAAGACGGCGACCGGAGCTCAGGGGGCAACAGATGGCCGCATGAAGAAACGTTAGCTTTGCTCAAGATCCGTTCAGAAATGGACCTTGCATTTCGTGATTCTACTCTCAAAGCCCCTCTCTGGGAACAAGTTTCAAGGTAGGATTCCTTCATTTTCTAGATGTTTCCCTTTTTGACATCTTCTTTTTGTATATTAAAAAAGATATAACATCCCCAGAGTTGATAACCGTAAGTAATTACTAATTTATTAGTTTTCCTTTGGGATCTTTAGTTCTCAGTGATCTGGTTAATGCTTTCTTATTCAATAATGTTGTTTCTTGATTTACTATTCATAGGATTGATAAATCTGGTTTTACTACCATTTATCTGAAATAGTATTAATAATTCTGCTATTCTTTACCATAAAGATTGCGTTTTTTAAATAATTTATTAAACTACATAAACTACAAGAAGTTTTCAGTTCACAATCTGTTCAAATACGTCACTCAGACCTGAATACAAACATTTAACTAATTGACACAATCATGTAACGTATGGAGATTAGTAATTGAGATTTGGACGGAGAAACCTCTTTAGATAAGGCACTGTTTGAGTGTGTGGTAGAGAAGATCTCAGCTGAATAACCCCTTTTAGTAATTTATTTCTTAAAACATTTCAAATATATTAACTTTCATCTTTCAGTTATCTTTCATCTTTTGTTAATAGCTTTTAACTAAAAACTTTTAGATATTTTTCAGTAGTCAAACAGTTTTTTATGTAGTTGGATGAACCCAAAAGTAATCTAACACTTGACCAAATTTTATACTCCCAGTGCTGCTTTCTCTGTCCCAAATAAAGAATCTTTTCAAATACTCCACTTTTTGTTCAAAAAGTCTCTTCAGGTCAAAATAACCCTTTTTGAGTATAATTTGTCAAAAGCTCACATACAAGTTTATATGATATGTTAATTAGTCAAAACCTACTCTCTATGTTCCTAAAAAACCAATATGAGTAAAATTGGCGATTTAATGATTGGCACTTAGCCGCAGTCTCTTGCCTAGGTAAAAAATTCTTAACGCTTTTGAGAAGAAATAGAGCTTAAATGTAATTTATATGATCAGAAAAATGGAAGAGTCAGGGTACAAGAGAAGTGCCAAGAAGTGCAAAGAGAAATTTGAGAACATTTACAAGTACCACAAGAGAACAAAGGAAGGCAGGTCCGGTCGCCAGAATGGGAAAAACTACAGATTCTTTGATCAACTAGAGGTGCTCGACAACCTGCAGTCCAACAAAACCTACTCGGACGATTCAAAGGACCCAACAGAATTGGGGTCTCCAACGCCCATGGCAATGGTAAGGCCAAACACCAACATTGTCCAAGATTTCAGGACGCATCATCATCTCATCAGCCAAACAAAACACAACCTCACCAGCGCTGATGTCATTTCAGCCTCCACGTCCACAACCTATTCCTCTGGGAAAGAGTCTGGAAGTTGTGTTTCGAGGAAGAGACAAATGGCCGGTTTCTTCGAGAAGCTGATGACGGAAGTGCTAGAAAAGCAAGAAAATTTGCAGAAGAAGTTTCTCGAAGCATTGGAGAGATGTGAGAGGGACCGCATGGCGAGGGAAGAAGCATGGAAGAGAGAAGAGACCGAGAGAATGAAGAGAGAACAAGAGTTCTTAGCACAGGAGAGAGCCATTTCAGAGGCAAAAGATGCAGCCTTGATAGCATTTCTTCAGAAAATCGCCAAGCAACCGATCCCTGTGAACTCAATCACGCCCTTAGAGAAAGACCCGGAAATTCAAGAAGGGAACGACGAGGAGGAAATAAATATTAATAACGAGCAAAAAGAGAACGGTTCCGGTGAGAGAACTTATGCTAGATGGCCTAAAGCGGAAATCGAAGCATTGATTAGATTCCGGACGAAGCTTGACATGCAGTACAACGAAAACGGGTCAAAAGGCCCTTTATGGGAAGACATATCATCTGAAATGAAGAAGCTTGGGTATGACAGGAATGCCAAACGGTGCAAAGAAAAATGGGAGAACATAAACAAGTACTACCGAAAGGTGAAAGAAAGCAACAAGAGGAGGCCCGGAGATTCCAAAACTTGCCCATACTTCCACATACTTGATTCTCTTTACCAAAACAAGTCCAAGAGGGTTGTTGAACTTAGTTCAACGACTCCCGATAATCCTCATGATTTCAATATGAAGGCAGGAGAGATGTTGATGCACATAATCAACCAAAACCAAAAGCAATATCGGGAAAAACAAGATGTCAGACGAACAACAAATGGGTTCCAAAGTCAAGAGAATGATGAAGAGGGTGAAAGTGAAGACAGGTTTCAAATTGGAACCGACCGCCTGTGAAAAGAGAGTTGAAGTGAAGGTAATAATAAAAATTCCAATAGGAATTAATTATGGGGTCACTTTAAATTATGCTGTGCACACACACACACACACCCAATAGGTGATACTAAATTATTCAATCATACCATACATTGTTTGGAAAATAGTGATACAGATTACATAGTAGGTGTATTGTGTAAAAAAACAAGGTGCATCTTACTTAATTTGGTTGCCCCACATCTCACATTTAAAGTTTAAATTGGTCAGTTCTGTTTGTTTGTAGCTTGTACCTAATGTATACCTAAATGTCATTGATTGCTGTTTTTTATATTATTAATTAATGTACTCAAAAGGCATCCAGATGTGAAATTATACCATGCTGAGGATGTAGTTTGTATGTAAATATGCTGCATGCATACTACCTCTCACCTGCCACTTTTCTCACAATTGATATATTGTTTTTGTGAAGGTTACTTGGTAAAAATGATTTAATCTGTGCAGCATTTTCGTTTGTAAGAAGAGATATGTTTGATAGAGACAATATGTTATTGAAGCGGGTTCTTTTTATTCCACTAATGAAATGATAGGCTGCTATATAAGCCAAGTGTTCTCAGACTAGACGAAGTCACAGTCACACAAATCGGATCTCAACAATTCGAACAAGCAAACAAAGCAATACAGAAAAGTAAAGACACGCGATATGATGACGCAGTTCGGAAGAGAACTTCCTAATCTGCGGGGTTTCAATAGGGGAAACTCGGTCCCAGACACATCCACTAGCTCAGAAAAGTTTTTACAATCAAGATGGTTGCAAAGTAATGTATCAACATGCAATATATAGACAAACAACTCATAACGAATAACAACAAAAGAAAGTTGAGAGTTAACCAAATTTGAATCCAGTCAGGAATTCGAAGGGCAGAAGAAGACTCCCGGATGAACCAGCAGATTACTCCAATGGACAGGCTTTCTCCTTTCTCACAATCGTCACAAGAAGATGGCTTCAATCGCAGGAGATAACAGATCTCACAGACTCTCTCTCTCTCAGATTTCTCTCTAGGGTTTGAAGTATGCAGCGGAACAGTGCAGAGGGAAGGACGAAGGATATATTAATAACCTTCCACCCGGGCAGATGAACTAACCAAAAGGCCGGACCCAAGAATAGGCCCAACAACAAGAGGCTAAACAAATCAAGCCCAAGGCACAAAAAAACCAACTCAAACAAGAGATAACCCAAGAAGAAATAAATACAAATCTAATTACTTTGCCATCCTATCTTAATTATAACAAAAAAGAGCATATGAGAGAATTAGGATTAAATAATAATCCAACAATTTGCCCTCCTAAGACTCATTCTCATGTAAAGAACTCCAACAGGAGTATCATCATCGCTAGTTTCGCAGGATCTGAGAGACATAAATTTCCCCATTCATCATCAACCCATCTTTGAACCTTTTATCAAGGTACCTCAAAGATTTTGAAGAAGCTCCTGCAAAAAAGAAATTTATCAGTAGGGACAATTTTTGTTCCAAAATCAGCAGGATTTACATCCCCAGAAATCTTTTCAACATTAGTATTACCCTTGGCAATTTCATCTCTAATGTAATGAAACCTTACATCTATATGTTTGGTCTTCTCATGATACATAGGATCTTTGCAAAGGTAAATAGCACTTTGGCTGTCAGAAAAAACAATAGGGACAAGACTGTTTCCTAGAACCTCTCCCAAAATGCCTTTAAGCCATTTGGCTTTTTTAATGGCTTCAGTGACAGCAACATATTCAGCCTCAGTAGAGGACAGAGCCACAACAGATTGCAATTGGGATTTCCAAGAAATACAGTTCCCAGCCCAGGTAAAGAACCAGGAAGTGGTAGACTTTCTGGTGTCTTTACAACCAGCATAATCAGAATCAACAAATCCTTTCAGGTCTAAAGAAGAATTGAAACTATACTTAAGACCTAGGTTTTTTGTTCCAGATAGATACCTAAGAGTATACTTCATAGCAGTCCAATGTCTTTCCCTAGGGTCAGACATAAATCTGCTAAGAACACTCACAGCAAAGGCAAGGTCTGGTCTGGTACATAGCATAGCATACATCAAAGACCCAGAAGCAACATCATAAGGGATTTTATCCATTTTCTTAGATTCCTCCAAAGAAATAGGATAAGGATCCCTCTGAAGATCCAAATGCCCTCCTAAGGGTATAGAAGTGCATTTAGAACCAAGCATGTTAAACCTATCCAAAATCTTAGTCAAATAACTGCTTTGAGATAAGAACATGAACTTTTCAGGTCTATTTCTGCTAATGTCAATTCCTAAAATTCTTTTAGCAGGTCCTATGTCTTTCATGTCAAAATGTGTTTTTAGATCATCTTTCACACTAATAAACAACATTTTGCACAGACCAATTATGAGGATATCATCAACATATAGCAGAATGTAAACAGCATTATCAGTATCAACATGCTTAAAATACAAACAAGTATCATATTTGCTTTTAAGAAAACCAAGTTTACTCATGCAAGCATCAAATTTCAAGTTCCATTGTCTTGGAGACTGTTTTAAGCCATAGATAGATTTTCTTAACAAGCAAACATGGTCAGGATACATTTTACTCTCATATCCAGGAGGTTGAGACATATAAATAGTTTCATTTATATCTCCATGTAAGAAAGCAGTCTTAACATCCATTTGTTCCAATTCCCAGTCAAACACAGCCGTCATAGCAAGCAAAAGTCTCAAAGTTTTAAATTTGATAACAGGAGCAAAAATATTTTGGTAATCAATCCCTTTCTTTTGTTTAAAACCCTTAGCAACAAGCCTGGCTTTATACTTAGGAGGATCAGTGGGATCAAAACTATCTTTTATCCTATAAATCCATCTACAATCAATGACCTTAGCACCTATGGGTTTAGGGATCAAAGTCCAAGTTTGATTAACAAACATAGATTGTAATTCCTCTTGCATTGCTTTAACCCATTCATTTGACTTAGAACTCTTTATAGCTTGCTCAAAAGTTTCAGGCACATTATTTTTAACAGTTTCAGAGGCTATAAAGATAAACTCAGCTAGATTAGAGATGTATTTCCTATTAGGAATAATATTTCTAGGTTCTCTATCTCTAACAAGCTGGTAATCAGACAAGTTTGGTTCTTCATGTTCATTGGAGGTACTATCATTTAGAACAGTTTCACCAAAATTTTCATTTTCATCAGGTAAAACAGGTGTATCATGCAAATTACTCAAATTGTCAAGTGAGGGTAAGGTACTACCTTCCTGGGTTGAGTCAGTATTAAACTGTGCAATACCTTCTGATGAATCATCTTGGTCTGATTCTGACAAAGATTGATCATCAATACCTTCATGAAGTCCTCCAACATCAATGTCACCTTCTGACAGACTCTCATTGCCCAGAGAATCAAAGAAGTTACCATCAGAATCATCTGTTATAACACTAGAAGATGCATTAACACTTTTAAAGTGAAATTCAGATTCATTAAATGTAACATCTCTAGAGATAATGCATTTATAAACTCCAGGTTGAATAACAAGGAGTTTATAACCTTTCACACCTTCTGGATAACCAATCATAACACACTTAATAGCCCTAGGTTCTAACTTACCTTGAGAGATATGAGCGTATGTAGTACACCCAAAGGGCCTTAAATGAGTTATGTTTGGTTTCACACCAGACCACATCTCCTGGGGGGGTTTTGAAACCCACCACAGAGGATGGTGATCTGTTGATCAAGTAAGTAGTTGTAACAACAGCTTCACCCCACATAGAATTTTTAAGACCAGACTCTATTAACATGCATCTAGCCTTTTCAAGAATAGTCATGTTCATTCTCTCAGCAGTACCATTCTGCTTGGGGGGTGCCAGGGACAATTAAAAACCTTTTAACCCCTTCAGTTTTGCAGAAATTATTGAAAACATGGTTACAAAATTCAAGACCATTATCAGTTTTCAAAGACTTCAGTTTAAACTTGGATTGAGACTCAACTAGCCTTTTCCAGATTTTAAAACTGTCAAAAGTTTCGTCTTTGGTTTTCAATAAGTAAACCCACACTTTCCTAGAAAAATGATCAATAAGAGAGAGAAAATATTTCCTTCCTCCTAGAGTTCCAGTTTTAGAGGGCCCCCATAGGTCAGCATGGACCAATTCCAGGGGTTGAGAAGCAGTATAGGTAGATTTGCCAAAAGTGTGTCTGGTTTTCTTACCAAAAATATAGTTTTCACAAAAATCAATTTGGCTTGGTTTAAAGTCAATCATTCCATTTTTAAACAATTTGTTAAGTCCAACATTTCCAATGTGACCTAACCTTTTGTGCCAGACCTCAGTTTGTTTTTGAACAGCAATGTTAGTATCAGGGGCAGCTATATTTAGCTCAGAGGAACCTTCAACAATGTAAAGACCTCCTCGCTTAACAGCTTTGATAAGATGATTTCCATTTCTGGAAACCATCTTAATGCCAACCTGAGTAACAATGCTACAGCCTAACTCATCAAATATAGATTCAGACAGCAAGTTTCTTCTCAAATAAGGAACCCATCTCACATTTTGAATAACCCTAACAACTCCATCAAACATCCTTAAAGGCACATTACCTATGCCCTTAATATCCAAAGCAGTATTATCCCCCAGCATCACCTTTCCCCCATTGTACAAGTGTAATGAGGAAAAAATTGCTTTGTTGGGGGTGGCATGCAAGGTACAACCAGAATCAAGGATCCACTCATTTTTCAAAGAAGAATCAGAACAGATAAGCAATTCATGTTGTATTATGTTAGCAGACTCAGTATTAGAATTAGGATTAACGGTGGTTTTTGAGTCACCCTGTTTATCCCTTTTCTTTTTCCTACAGTCTCTAGCAAAGTGTTCCTCTATGCCACAGTAGTGACACTTAAAACCTTTCTTTTCAGAATTTTCCTTATCATTTTGTTTCTTCTTTTTAGAGCCATTTTTCTTACCCTTTGATTTACCCTTCACAACTAAGGCTTCAGATTTGATTTCATCCTTTTCATTATTCAAGGGATCATTCTTAGATTTGAACACTTTTAGGGTTTCATTCTTCTCTAGAATAGAATCAATGATCTTACCAGGGGTAAGATCTTCATTAGAGTACTGAATGACATCCTTGAAGTTATCAAACTGAGAAGGCAAAGAGTTAAGAAGAATGACATCTTGATGAGTATCTTTTATCTTTTCATCCACTTTCTCAATTTCTTGTGTTAGTTTCAGAAAATTATCCAAATTATCAGAAAGAGACAGAAACATTCATCTTAAAAGTGAACAACCTACATAACAGAGAGATTTTTCTAGACATAGACTTCTTCATGTAAGTTGATTCCAGGGTATTCCATAACACTTTAGGGTCTGTAATAGTTGATAATTTTCTTGCAACATTATCAGATAAGTGATTTATCAGTTCAGAGTAGGCAGCATTCTTTAATTCAACTAGGTCAGACTCAGATATTCCAGTTATTTCAACATCAGAAACAACTTTAAAGCATTTTTGCTTCATCAACAGAGCCTTCATCTTAAGCTGCCACATAGGGAAATCACTAGTACCATCAAAGATGCGAATCTTGGTACTAGAGTCAGACATTTTCCCAATGCGGACTCAAGAAAAAACATATATACACAAGAGTAGAAATCAGACAGAGTCAAAACACACAGCAGCAAGCACAAGACAGAATAATTCTGAGCTAGGGTTTCAAGAACTTGGATTATCAAAAAAGATACCAGGAAAGCGAACAAAAGAGAATAATCAAGAACTAGGGTTTCAAGAAATCAAGAATTAAAACCAAAGGTTAAATTTCAGATTTCAAGAAAGCACGCAAGGCTCTGATACCAAATTTGTTCTCAGACTAGACGAAGTCACAGTCACACAAATCGGATCTCAACAATTCGAACAAGCAAACAAAGCAATACAGAAAAGTAAAGACACGCGATATGATGATGCAGTTCGGAAGATAACTTCCTAATATGCGGGGTTTCAATAGGGGAAACCCGGTCCCAGACAGATCCACTAGCTCAGAAAAGTTTTTACAATCAAGATGTTTGCAAAGTAATTAGACTACGACCGGTATCAACATGCAATATACACACAAACAACTCATAACGAATAAAAACAAGAGAAAGTTCAGAGTTAACCAGATTCGAACCCAGTCAGGAATTCGAAGGGCAGAAGAAGACTCCCGGATGAACCAGCAGACTACTCCAATGGACAGGCTTCCTCCTTTCTCACAATCGTCACAAGAAGATGGCTTCAATCGCAGGAGATAACAGATCTCACAGACTCTCTCTCTCAGATTTCTCTCTATGGTTTGAAGTATGCAGCGGAACAGTGCAGAGGGGAGGACGAAGGATATATTAATAACCTTCCACCCGGGCAGATGAACTAACCAAAAGACCGGACCCAAGAATAGGCCCAACAACAAGAGGCTAAACAAATCAAGCCCAAGGCACAAAAAAAACAACCCAAACAAGAGATAAGCCAAGAAGAAATAAATACAAATCTAATTACTTTGCCATCCTATCTTAATTATAACAAAAAAGAACATATGAGAGAATTAGGATTAAATAATAATCCAACAC